CATAAAAGACCTAAGGTTATCTTTTTAAGACGAGGAAGTTGAGGTGAAGTGTATGCACTTTGTACCTGCTGTTTAGGAATTAACTTTACAGCCAAAGTGGTTATTGAACTCCCATCTCGTCCATTTAAGAACAGGGTTTGCTGTCTGCTCACAGGCCTCATTATGTGTAAATATCACCACTGGTGGCCATTTTTTACAGCTGTCAGCATGTTTTCTAGACCACGTTGGCTGTGTTTTTGCAGGTCGAAAGATGTGTTTAAGGTAAACCCCTCATTTATGTTATTAGAGGTGATGATGCATGTGGTAGCGTCCACTAGATGGAGATAGGTGGCAACAGGAAGGGTCCAGTGAGTGAGAAAGGTAGACCCACAGCTTTAAAAATAAGATAATAGTGTGCAAAGTCTCTATCCAGATTTCTTGTCTCTGTGTTTTCCTTCCAATCCTCCACACTCACTTGTAAAATTTAAGAAGCATCAATAATCAGTCATTCTCCAGCTAAGGAACAGGATGAAATTAGATGTTTATTAGATTGTTTTTGTGTGTGTTTGTGTCCAGACGAGGAGGAAATGGAGGCGTCTGAGCAGGAAGCTGTAAGCAGGGCAGAGGCAGAGACTCCCCCAAAGGTGAGCCGGCATTAAAGGTGTTCTCTGTCGCCCTTTTTGGCCTCATGGGGGCGCTGCTGCGTTTGAGCATCAACGGGCAACAGAGTCACTCATGAGAAGCTCAAAGCTTGAACACTTCAGTGTAAAATGCCTCATTTCTACCCCCTACATATCTGTTTTCCACAGTTTTTCCCTCTTATAGTTAGTATATGCCATTTTTTTTAGCACAGAAAAATATTTCCACAGTTAGGGAGCCACTGCAGTTTAGGCAAAGTCTTTTTAATTCGATGCTCATCAATATTTTTACATTTTTCATTTTTTTTTCTTGATTTTTTCCCTTTTTAAATTTGTTTTCCCCCTTTTTTTCCTTTTTTTTCTTCCCTTTTCGTCTTTTTTCTCTTTTCCCCCCCTTTTTTAAAATGAATTGTTAAATCTGATAAGGTAATTTAATAGAAGAAAGCTTAATCTGGAGTGAAAACCCTCTTTCGTTTTTATATTTTTTCCTTAATACCCGCTTCATGATGAAGAGACTCTATAGAGAGACACGAAACAGACATCAGTTCGTAAGGATGTGGACGGCAGCTGGTGTCTCTGTGAAGCCAAGCAGAAAACCAGACTCTGGCTTTACGCTTCTCTCGGGAACATCGGGCCACACTCTGACCTCTGACCTTTGGAAAGAGCAGACGGGGACCCCTGGAGGTGGGTCTGCGTCAGCTGTCCCTTAAGCGTGACCCACCGCTTTGAGTCGACCGCCTCCGGCTCCATCTTCGTCCTCCTGGGATCTAAGATCAGAGTCAGGCTCAGGTCTGAGGGGCTCCGAACACCCCGTGTCTTCAGAATACTTCTAGTGACCTAGTTACCAGTGACCTCTGACCCCTGACCTTTATGACTAATCCAGACCGAAGCCTTGTGGTGTGTTCAGGCCTCAGAGAAAAAGGGGAGATCGTTTTTGATACTTAAGTTTGAACACACTCTGGATAAAACAGGTTTCTTTTTCAGACTCCAGCTCTGAGG